TTTTCGTTCAAAGTACCTTTTTTGGTTCGGTATCGTACCATTTTTTTCCAGTGTATCCTAATAAGCTTCAAACAGCACTCATGAACCTAATTGCACAAAAAAATCCAGATCCAACATTTATTAAGTAACATGTAAGTGTGAAGCAATTTATAACGAAGAAATAGGACTTGGTTTACATAAACGAATATGACAACACAAGCGAATAATTAAAAACAACGACATTAAATTAAATTCGGAGATTGTACAAACCATCAAGGTAATATATATTAATGCACATTTGATTTGGATAAAGCATTTGTCATTGACCATGAGATTGGTTGAAAAACACGACGAATCAAATAATCAATTTATTCCACTATTAACAAGCCGATTAATCGTCACGATAACATTAATGCACCATGGGTCCCTCAACTATATGAAGGATCTACAATAATAAAAAGAACCATAGAAACGAAATGGAGAAGAAATTTATCCATCATTGGAATGCAAGATGGCAATAGTGGGACAGATGAAGAAGACAAGTAGTACATATCTCCGACCACTTTCACCGTCTTGCCGTTCGACTATCATATGATTAATATCAAAAAGAAAAGAAAAAGAAAAGAAAAAGAAATTTAAATAGAAAAATCTATACGCTCCTATACAACGTCTGAAGAAGACAACTTCAACTGTCGAAACATCACATCATTATTTTATTTTTTTTTTTTTTTTTTATTATGCAATAACTGCGATCCTAAGATCCCAAGAGTACCAGAAATGAGAAGATAGAGAAAAAAAGTGAAATAAAAGGTACACAGAAGATGCAAAAAGAAGGCAAGATTCTACATGTAAAAATGCAGAGAAAAGAAAAAAGGATGATGAGAAAACCGCATCCAAGATGAATACAGAGTACAGAGTAGAAAATAAATAAAAGAAAAAAAAGGGACCGACACACATGTATAACAGACCGCACATGAACAACATTTAAACAAAAGTTAAGACGGACAGAAAAAAGACATAGATCACAGCTTTAACAAAAAGAATCAGGAAAGAGTTGAAGTAGCTCTATTTCAGACATTTCATAATGTGGTATAGAAGAGTTTGAAGGGACCGATGAAAGCCAAGTTAAAACTTTTTCTAAAATTGATTTATAAGGGACGAATCTTTTAGACCTTCTCAACCCCATGATGGGGAACTCCTTATCCAACCAACTTTTCCTAAATTCAGCAAGGTTAGCTTTTTCGAAAATTAGATTACCATCAATCGAATTAGACAAAGCTCTAAGATACCTATTCCAGTATATGGAACAACGATCTTCCAAAGAGATTTCATCAAGAATATATGAAAAAAAATTTTCATTCCATTCGAGGCAACATAGAGTACGACGAAGGGAGGAGTAATAAAACCTAGAGAGATCCTCCTGTTGCTTTCGAGTGAATAGCGGATATATTGGATATAACCAGGTGAATAATGGAAGGACATGTGAATAGAACAGAGCTTTACGAAGACTAGGAGACGAACAACCAAACAATTTAAACGATTTAATAAGTGCTATTCTCTTCCGAACTTTACATTCTTTATCCTTTAGTAACTTTCCCCATCCAAGTCTAGATGAGATGATGTAGCCAAGATATTTGTACTCCTGTTTCCAATTAATACATTTATCATCACCATTATCAAGTGTAATGTTGAAGCTTGGGGACCCTATTGCACGAACACTAAACATAGCTTCGGTTTTAGTCCTATTTAAGGGCTGATCAGCTAAACAAGAATAATATTCGAGTGAATCAAGAAAAGATTTAATACGTTTTTCAAGATCAATACATTGATTTGTGTATCGTACTCCTAAATGACCTGCAAGTATAGCTGCGACGTCGTCAGCAAAAAAATGACTAGTACATTGAGAAAGAAATTGTCCCATATCACAATGATAACTAATGAATAAAGTGGGAGTTAACACACTACCCTGAGGACCTCCTTTTCCAATTGAAAAACATCTGGACTTAACACTATTTATCTCAATAAAGCACCTTCTATCAAGAAGCCAAGCTTCAATCCATCTTAAATAAGACGGAGGAATACCTAATCTCATTAGCTTGCCCACGCAGCCCTCATGCCATAATTGATCAAAGGCAGAACGAAAATCAATAAAGATGGTACATATAGGGGCACTATTTGCCATAAGACTATATATGTCCTCCAGAAATAATAATAAATGGGTTTGGAGACGAAAACTATTTCTGAAACCGGACTGATTATCGGGTAATAAACCTCTTCTAGATAAAACATCACGAAATCTAGAAAGAAATAACCTTTCACCAACTTTAAGAAAAGAGTCAATAAGAGAAATAGGACGAGTTAAGGAAGGAGAGCAGATAGACTCTTTTTTAGCTAATAAAACCATTCTGGTATCTTTCCAGGCCTTAGGCAAAATAGCCTTTTCGAAAGAGTGATTAAATAGTTTAAGAAATAAAGACCAATGACATTGATCCAGAAAATTAAACATGAAGTTCGATATGCCATGAGGATCAAGAGATTTCTTCTTACGTTTTGCCTGCACTGTGAAAATTAATTCATCTAATGTTACTTCAGGAATCGGTTCATCGACATTGTCATATTGAATAGGTGGAAAATCAGTGTATGGATGAGGTTTCACTATATTAGATTTTTTTTAAAATTTTCATAAAAATCAGCAGCAACTTCGCACATTTCTTTAGTATCTTTAATAATATGTCCTGATGGTGCAATAAGAGCATGTACGGTAGAGGATGAGGGTTTAAGATATTTTTTACATTTTGACCAAAACAAAACAGCTGCAGGTGAAGAAGTATTACGAAGATTAAGTGTTGAAGAAAGTAGAGAAGAAAAAAAACTCTTAAGTTCACTTTTGGCTACTCTCCTCAAGGAATATAACATATTCTTTAGTTCGACGTTTTTTGTTCTCATTTGGCGAAAAGAAAGAGCACGTATATAGGACAAAAACGATCTAAGTTCTACAGGAATAGGAGGACGATATTTTTCTAAAGGGAAAACAATTGTACATCGAACAGATAAAAGAAACAGGAATCTGCTATTATCATTGTAAACAACATCAATATTATCAAGGTCTCACATTTCTTCCCAGAAGGAAAAAGTATATTCTGTGAAGAGAGAGAAAACTTTCCAATGAACATTTTTCCTACTTTTATATTTTTTAACTTCGTTGGAATAACAGATATGAGGGGTGTATGGTCACTGGTTGTATTACCACTATAATTTTGAATATCGATACTTAAACCAGCCGCTAAAGCATAATCAATTATTTTATTCGAACGCAAAGAAGTAGACAATTCAGGTGTAAATGGAGCAAGAAAATTAGTATCTGCCCACGCAAGGAAGATCTCTGCTTTTTTACCATCTTGATCTATATCAACATTAAAATCTCCAAACACAACGCATTTATTTGATAAAAAAGGGGACAGATCCTCCCATGTCCAGGGTTTACTCTCAGGTGCATATATTCCAACAACACGTAAGATTTCTTCACCTATAATATCTAAAACACAAACATTAGGTAATTTACATTCTATACGCATTACTTGAATAACTAATTTCACCAGGACCAAAATTTCACCATTTTTATTCTCTCCCTTTTGGTAAAAAATTCTAAAGTTATTGAAGATTTTCTCAAAGAAAGACAGTTCAATTTTACCAGTTTCGAGAAGAATAAGTATATCGAAATTGAAAGAAGATGTAAGAAGAAGGACCTCTTGCCATCTTAACTCAAGCCCCTAACATTGAATGAAAGAACATGAAGTGAAGAATGAAAAGAATTTTCATCGAAAGGAACATACTTCTGCCACATAGAAAAACAAGAATTAAGAAATAGACTACCTTCCCACTCACTCAGAATCTCTAAGAAAAGATTAAAGTCAAATGAAGATAATGAAGCTTTAGCTTTAACTAAAAAATCACTACGCTTACATAGTTTAGAAGAAGAAAAACAAGAAAAAAAGGTTGAGCAAGAGGCGATAGAGTCATTAGCTTGTAAATTGTTTGCCTTCAATTGCTTTTTTCATTTGAACCAAATAACGATTAAGTTTACATTTAAGATCCACATCAAGTGGATTACCCCTCTTGTCACAATTTTGTGCTGCAATAAATGAAAATAAATCTTCAAACATAGGAATTAACAATTTACAAAATAAATTTTCATGTCTATCAATATATAAACTATGTTGAACAACATTTTTCTTTAAATCCATATGGTAATTAGATATATCATTAATATTTTTAGTAACAATTTCATCATTACGATTTTTTTCTAATATGAATTGTTCAAATTGATCATGTTTAGCTTCCAAATTAGCAAGATGATTCTTCACTTCTGATAATTTATTTATTAATTCATCCAGCTTATCCATCATAGGGTTAATTGATGAAGTTGAAGATTTAGGTGGTGGAGGAGGTGGAAAATTAGTTGAATTAAAAATAATATTTTTACTCGAGTTCATATCAGGTGATGAATGATTATTAAGTTGAAGAATTTTACGAGTTAATTCAGTACGAAAAGATTTGACCACCGGACACTTGAGAGAACTAGATTTATGATTTTGTCCACAGTGGATACATTTTTCAATTTTAGAACAATTATGATTTTTCATATCATCAACTTGTTCACAACATGTACGACATGTTTCTTTAATCTGGGAGCATTGTTTTTTAAAATGCCCCAATGCCATGCACTTAGAACATATGAGCACATTAGCAGGAGCTAAATATTCAATAATATCATAAATGATATAATTAACAGTAATTCTCTTTTTATTTAATAATTCATCTCTAGTAGAAGAAGAAGTTAATTCAATTTTAACCATCTTGATCTCATTTTGAAACTTGTTTTTCATTCTAATTATATTTTTAACTTGAGGATAGTTAGATTTAATATCAAAGCAGAATTCATCAAAATCAATACGTAAATCAACATTTTTAATAAGTAAACAGAGTTGTGGTGGAATAGCTGGTGCTGAAGGAAAAAAATAACTTTTACCACCTATAACTTTTGGCCAATGAGGTTGTTCTAATAAAAACGAAAAAGAAAAAGCATCTTTTACATATATAAGAATATCATATTCATTATCAGATAGAACATTAGAAGATAAACGACAATTAATCACTTGAACATCAAATTGATGAATTTTTTTACAATGATCAATTAAATTTTCTTTAACTTGATTACTTGTAACCTTTCCTGCACCAAAATGTAAAACAAATGGTGGAAACGGATACCTTGTTTGAGCAAAACGTGTTGATTCATTAGTAATAACGAAATTATAAGAAGATAACTGATGTTGATTATCATTAATAGTATGTATTTGATTTTGATCAAGTTCTATATCATCAAGATTAGGTACAATTGGATTAACACGATATTCTTCACCATTATTTAATGCTTGAGGGTCATCACGTGCAATTTGTTTTTGTTTTTTCTTGTTCTTCACAATACGAAAACCATCCTCTGATTCGTCGGCTGAGAGTGGACGACGAACAGAAGATAACGATGAATTAACGAGATGTAAATTTGATGTTGACGACGATCTTGGTGTAATAGCATGATTTTCATCATTTTTTTTATTCAAATTAACATGTTCATTAAGATTAAGATCCAAATGAGAATCCGAAATATTATTTGAGTTAGAAGATAAGATATTATTATCTAATTCGGACACTATAACATGATCATTTAATGCTTGTAAACGATGTTCATCATCATTGTTCAGATATGAAACTGAATGAGAAGTCATTGACAATGGCTTATAATTCAGTATAGAGAGAAAATCAATGTAATTAATTAATTTTCTCGATCACGCACTGAGCGCGTGATTAAGATGTGCGTATATACGAAGGAAAAGAAAAAGACGTAAATCGACTTATCAGCAGATAGAACGAATCACGAGTGACATCATTATTTTATTGAAATCATTAATACTTATATATTATTGTAAATTGAAATCAATTGTTTTGACTTAATTGTAATTGTTGAATAAAGATATACAAAAAATAAATAAATACATATAAGGAAGACTACAAACATGTAATAAATTACAGGTAAAATTTCCAACCAAAAAAAACAACGTATGTTTTGACAATATCCTTATGATTATTTTGCGCACATTGTGATGCATATTTTTTTTTCTGTATTAGTATCGTATAGCTGTGCGAACGACGAATGAGAGAACAAACAAAACAATGGTTAAATTTTGGGAATATGATTTGTCGTCAGTAAAATGAATGAAATGATTATTACAAAAATATACAAATGATCATTGTAAATATTGAATGGTCAGTACGAAAATGATCAGTTTTTTAATAGAAGTCAATGAAAAATTAAAACTGCGTCAACAAAAAAATTCAAATTGGATCAGTAAAAATGCAGATTTGTTCGCACAAGAAATAAATTCTATTCATATAAGGATTAATTTAGTACAATAAAAATAAATTTAAATAAATAAAAAAAGACAGAAAAAATGACAAGAAATCCAAAAGTACAATAAATAGAAATTCAAAGATTGAACCAAAAAAAAAGAAAATAAAAGTTTAGTTATTGTACTAACAAAACAAGTTAAATGTTTGCTGATCTACTTTTTTTTCTTTTCACATCGAGTGACGCCGTTTTTGCCGCTGCTGGTGGCTTTCAATATTTCAAACGAATGGCCATACCAAGAACGTGTTTGTATAAATAATTCTTAGAAAAAAGCTGGACAGATGCATTTTGATGTGTTCCAGTTTGAATCATTCTCCATTTTCATACACCAAATATCAAATGATTTTGTGAATTAAGTAAAATTTGTTGACTTCTTACTTTTATATTTATCTAAATCGACTTGTATAATCGATTGTCAATCACGAACTGGTATATCATATGTATTTGAAAAAACATGGGAAATACTAATTAAATCTTTGGTTGATTTAGTCCATTGATACTTTAAAGTTCATAATTGTAAAGATATTGTTGGTTTTATTGCAAATATTTTTGAGGTGACTGAGGAAGAATCTCGTTCAAATGGCCAATTATCGAGTGTTTAAAGCTATTGTGAAAAATTTTAGAAAACATGACGTTCTCTAAATATTCCATTATCTTTGATTCTTTTATTGCTTCCCTCTAAGGAGTTGTTTGTGCTTGGTGCATATAGTTGTATACATTCAAACCAACCATCACTGTATTTGAGCCTATCATTATCAAAATAACAAAAGAAATCTAATACTAATTGGCTTTTGCTTGTTGTTCATGTTCTATTTCCTTATAAATAGTATTGGTGCTAATTTGAATATAGCTGTAGCATTGAATAATTGAAGAACTTTAATTTTTTCTATCATTTCTTTTTGTAATATGTATATAATCTATTAGAATCATACTATAATACATTTCGATTTTTATATTTACCATTTAGTTTAATTTACTGACTTTTTGATTTATCAACAAGCCTAATTATTTTAACAACTGATCATCTAAATAATTTACTGATCGTTCATTCAATTTACAGATCATTCATTGTTTTACTAACCACTTCATTTATTCTACTGGCTACTTAAATGGTAGCCTAAAATTTTCAACCAAAAAAAACAACGTGTGTTTTGACGATATTCTCATGATCATTTTGCGCATATTGTGATGCACATTTTTTTTCTGTATTAATATCGTATAGCTGTATGAAGAACAAATGAGAGAACAAACAAAACATTGGCAAATTTCCAATCGCAAAAAACAACAAGGTATGTATTGAAATTATTCTTATCATTTTTTCGCGATACGGTTGGATGCGCGAAGCAATACGTATTTTTCAACGCATATATAAGCAATATTATGCTTTAGTTTGATGCACAACAACGACGACACATTACAGTGGTATTATCGTCCTGGACAGACAAGATTCTCTACGAGTACAACGAGCAAACGTATGTTTTTGCCAAACTGTAGTCTCTTTAAATGGTGTTTTTTGTAATAAGCATAGAGAGGATTTTACTGTCCTCAAGAAATGGCCACAACAATGTATAGTGTTGTTTTCCTACCATAGCAGCTCACTTTCTTTTGGTGAATTTGAATTTAGAGGAATGAAGCTCTCGGATTCAAATAGCAGTGCGTAGCTAAGGGAGGGAGCTTCAGAATTATTCCACCATATTTAAATGTATGTTAGCCCTTTTTCTAGATGGCGAGACTGAACGGTATAGGAGTTTTGAGATTTATTCATTTATATATATGAGGCACCGGAAGAGCAGTATTAAAGCAAAATTCCATGTATATGTATATGATGAGGTAGAATGTAACGGGCTGATCAAAACTATGTATTTTTATTTGTTGGTATTAGTTTTTATGGCAATAGTTTCGATTTCTGCTGATGGCATGCTTGTTATGAAAAAAGCTTGTTAGCGCGGCTCCTGCGGAGCTGAAATGTGGAACTCACGTATACCTTTAGCTTTGTTATCTGACGCATCGTTTGTATGCTGAAAGACTTCTCGTCAACTATAGTTGTTTTCCTTGAGAATCGATGAAAAGAGCGGAAATTTATTATTTATTTGTTTATTAAAAATATATATTAAAAAAAGAAAATATTGTTTTTTTCATTTAAGCGCGCTCGATTTCATTTATAATTATTGCTATATACTCGATAATAATCTTTTTTTTTTGTTTTCTAATTTGAAGTTATTTTTCTCCACCATCGACTATTTGATGAATACGGTTGTTGCAGTCTATTTTCAGGGGGGGGGGGGGGGGGGG